GATGGATGGATGAGTGGATGGATGGATGAGTGGCTGGATGTATGTATGTACAGTATGTATGTACGGATGGCTGGCTGGCTAGATGGATGGATGGATGGATGAGTGGGTGGGTAGGTGGATAGATGAATGGGTGAGTGGATGGATGGATAAATGGTTGAGTAATTTATGAAGGTCTCACAGATGATCTCATGGTCCAGGTGGCTGATGGTGTTTGTCAGTGAAAATAGAAAACAGCTCAGTCAGTCTTTTGAAAAATAAAATCCTTATTAAACTTTAATCTCTAAGGACTGCTGGGCTGAACAGTCACATCCAAACAGAGTCTGATGACGTGCAAACACCAGAAAGTACCAGCACGCCTGTTTGAATCAGTCACAGCTGCTATGAAAGACGAGACTTTATTTATCTCTGTCTCCATGCCGAGCAGAGTCATTTGGATCAGATCTCTGTTCACGTTTATTCCACTGGTGACATAAAGTCAGATCCTAAACCCATACCATAATCTGGAACAACCAGTCTGGCTTTTAACTTCCTATTTTTTATTTGATTTGATGCTTTTTTTTGTTTCAGATAGTCCAGTGCTGGTTGTAGTTGAGCACAAAACTGACAGCATCTGTTATGTTTGTCATGCTTTCTGTGATCCAATATCAGAAAATTAAATCTCTGCACAACAAATTTGAGATTTTCACACTGAGACCCATTCAGTCTGAAGCTTTCAGTGTTTTGTTCATCAAAACTAATAAGAAAACCTTCAGAATCAGCGCTTTCTGCCACGGTTACTTTCTGATACGGTTACTCTACATTAAAGCCTGCACTAATGAAACTCAGCAGGTCCACGTTCGTTTCTAAAACAGGTCTCAGTGTGAAAGTCTCAAATTTGTTGCGCAGAGATTTAATTTTCTGATGTTGTGGAATCACTGAAATGTGGAACGCCAAAATTAATTAAATAAATAAAGCATTATGAAATAAGTATCTAAACTCATTATTATTAAACACTTTCATTTTTAGTCTTTTATTTCACAATTGTGTTTTTCATGAAGGCTTATTTATGTCATAATGACACTTTTCAGCAGAACAACTTCAGCTGTCAATCAACGTCAGTGGGTTGGACCTGCACGCCCATTGGCTGATCCTTCATCCATTAGTTTTCCTGCTCACAGCAGGTACAGCCAGCTAGCCATAGCAGCTAACAACGACTTGTTAGGTCAGCAGTTATAAAGCATGGCAAAGTGCACGAACTTAGCTTTAGCTGCTAAAGTTACCTGAGCTGAACGAAGTTCATGCAACTCTGTCATCCTTCATAACGGCTGACCTAGCAAGTCGTTGCTAGCTGCTATGGCTAGCCGTACCTGCAGTGAGCAGGAAAACTAATGGATGAAGGATCAGCCAATGGGCGTGCAGGTACAACCCACTGACGTTGATTGACAGCTGAAGTTGTTCTGCTGAAAAGTGTCATTATGACACAAATAAGCCTTCATGAAAAACACAACTATGAAATAAAAGACTTAACTAACAATGAAAATTTTAATAATAATGAGCTTAGATATTTCACAATGTTTTATTTATTCATTTAATTTTGACCCTTTTGGCGTTCCATATATACTTGCTTTGGAAAGATTTGCGTGTGAGTATGTGTGTGTGCATTATTTGTGCTCCTAATATTATCATCAAGTTTTCCCCTTCAGTGACACAACACTTTTAGCTCACATGTCTCATAACTTTCACTTGTCCTTCTGAAATGTTTTTTTTTTCTTTTGTCTTATATGTTAAGAAAATGTGCCGTGACTTTTTAATGACTGTAACGGCTGAGGTGAAACATTCTCACTTTCTTTTTTAACGTGTTTGTCCCCCTGTAGTGACTTGCTGCTTGTTGCTTTTCTCCTGGTTCTGTGTTTTTGGTTGAGATGTGGGTTGTATGCTCACAATAGGGTTGCCACGATAGATTTAGGCTTTTAATTTTCCTCTTTTTTGGTAACTATTCATCCAGACATCAAAGGAATCGCTATAAATTATATCTGCTTCACTTAAATCAATTGTTTCTTTTGTTAAGCAAGGGTCTGTGGAAATGTTATGAGCAGTTAATATCTTACCTGTTGTAGATAACTCTTCCAACAACCTCAGTTTGCAGCTTATTTCTGATCAGAACGATGAGCTTGTGGCCAGTCTGAGCAATAAGGCCAAGACAGAAGTGCATTTCTGTCATCGAGTAAAATTTGAACTTTTTCTAAACTTTCTACAAAACCGTGTAATGGTATTGAAAAAGGGTCTACTTTTATGATGGACGGAGAGGTCCAAATTTAAATTTGTGATTTAGATTTTCGTAAATTGCCTCTGAATTGTTGAACTTCTTCCTCTTGCTTGCAGCCTGGCTGAATTTCCAGGCCTCACGGGGCTTGTGGGGCAGGATAGGGCTATGTCATGGAGGGCAGAATGCCCTCATTGTTCAGAACTGTTTATTTAATCCAAACGTCCCTCTCGCAGCAGAGCCTATAGTCCCAGCTCCCCCACCTCACTGCCACCGCGGCTCTTTGTCTCCCACACAGAAAGGGAAACAGCCAGCAAAAACTGTCCGGCTGTCAAAGTGGCAATGACATGTCCACAATGCTTTCCCTGGGATCATCTCTGTTCGTACCCCCCACCCGCAGCCTGGCACTGTAAGCCCCCCTTCCCCTGCTTGGCCTCCAGCAGTTACCAACAGATAAGCTGCAGGTTACAGATCACCAACTTCGGCGTCATCTTTCTTGAAACAGCACCAGTTCAACCAAACACAATGAACAGATAATCTTGTCATTTTTGAAGTGAAGTTTTGTCAATTAACAGTCGAATCAGTCGTAGAGAACTACGTATAGTGAGCAGAAGTCTTCGCTCAGGCTAGGCTAATGGCTAGCCTTTTTTTAAAAAAAAATTCAGGCTTATAAAGCAACCACAATGTTGTACGTTCAACATCCACATGTCACGTACTAACACGGCCATTGTTCGGTTGAGAAAACAGAAAGAACCTAAGCAAACGATGTCGTGGAAAAGTGAAGATGTTTAAAGAATATCAAAGTTCATAATCCAGGTAAAAAAAATATAACAAAGTTCAGTCAGGTCATCTGGACGGTTTCCTTTTTTTTTGAGACGTTTCGTCCTTGATCCAAAGGACTTCATCAATCCGAGGAGCCATAACAAAGTCGGTCCCACAAGCAGCACACTCACATAGTGGGTCAACTAGTTTGCTGGTGATAAGATGGTTTCTGGGGCACGCCCTCTCCCCCGTCGACTCCTCTGAGGCAGCCATAGCTAAAGTGGTTCAAAACATCAAAGTTCATGCTCTTAAAGCAAAAAAATCCAACAAAGTTAAATCAGGTCCTCTTGACGGTTTCTTTTTTTTTGTTGTTGAGCTCATTTTATCCCCATCAAACTGGTTGGTCCACTATGGGAGTGTGCTGCTTGTGGGACTGAGTTTGCCGTGGCTCCTCGGACTGATGAAGTCCTTTGGATGAAGGACGAAACGTCTCAAAAAAAAAAAAAAAAAAAGGAACCGTCCAGATGACTTAACTTTGTTGGGTTTAACAGAATAATTTTTAAAAAGTGTAATCCCTGGCGGGGGAAATTCAACATTATTGCAGTCACTCCAAGAATACACAGAACAAGCATCTCATGAAATGTAAAGTAAAAAACATTACGGCAAGTAAACGTGAAACAGTAAAAACACAAAAACCGGACCAATGACCAAGGTTAAAAGAAATAAAAAAAGATGGAGGAGTTGCACTATTTTTTTTTAGCGTTGTGTTATTGCCTTGGAGTTCCTCGTCCCGTCCATTTCATTAACCATGAACTCCCCCAGGAATTTGTACTCTTCAACAACTTCCACAGAGATAATACTAAGCTAATAAAGTTCACACCAGTGTGCCAGTGTTGAGACAGAGTTGTTTCTTTAAGCCTGACAAGTGATAAACAACAGGCTCTGTTCGGTTAGCCATTAGCCTAGCTTGGACAAAGACTTCTACCCATTTCTCCATACTCTGTGCTCTGATATCTCTGGTAATAATTATTCATACTGTGACTATTTGACAAAACCTCTCCTTTGGTTCAAAGTATTTGTTAACTTTCTGTCTTTTTCTTTAGTTTTCTATTTTGGCAACCCTAATTCCTACTAGCAGGCGTTTCTTTGGTGTTGTTGATTGGACTGGTCGGTGTGATCAATTTGGGTTTTAAGTTGCATTTCTTATATTCTCACATTGTGTTTGCAGACATATTAACACTACTCATGGCATGTGTGTGTTGTTCCCACAGCGTCGCGACCCACTATGTGTACCCTCAGGCCTTCGTTCAGCCCAGCGTGGTCATCCCTCACGTGCAGCCCGCAGCCGCTGCGCCTGCCACCGCCTCCTCCCCGTACATGGACTACACCGGAGCCGCCTACGCCCAGTACTCTGCAGCAGCCAGCGCAGCAGCCGCCGTGGCCTACGAGCAGTATCCTTACGCCGCGTCACCAGCTGCCCCGGGATACATGGCCACCACCGGCTACGGCTTCGCTGTCCAGCAGCCTTTAGCCACCGCTGCCCCGGGCTCGGCAGCCGCTGCAGCCGCGGCCTTCGGCCAGTACCAGGCTCAGCAGCTGCAAGCCGACCGCATGCAATAGCACCAACTGCAGCAGTCGCACAAGCAGAGACGGAGGCGCACCCCCAGCCACAGCTGACGCATTACAAGGAGACAAGAAGAAAAGAGCGGCTGTGCAGAGTTTCTTTAAAAGCTGATGATGATGGTGATGACAATAGCGAGGTGGAAACTTTGTTTAGTAACTTTCCAACTTGCTGTGTTTTAACCAAAAAAAAAAAGCATAAAAGGACAAAAAAGCTGCAGAACAAACAGTGCAAACGATTGACTCTGATCACTGTTATTGATCATTATTATTATTATTGTGTTAGAGTACTTATTTAGAGGGAAAATGCAGGAACTAATCCAACGGTTGGTGAACTGTAGGTGATACACTAAGCCTTTAAGTCCGATTGCTGTCTTTCACGTTAGTTCAGTTATTTAATGCCCTCGTGACGTTTATATTTTATTATTTTATTTATTATTATTATTATTGATGAGGGTTCTGTTAGTTCTTTTTGTCCTTTCAAGTGGATTTTTTTTTCCAAGTTAGTATTTTTCTGATAATCAGGGAAATGGAGCCGTTTCCATGTGTTCGCTATGATGATGTCAGAAAGTCGTCGTTTCACACATTTGACAACTTTTTTGAATCTTCCTGATGCTGAATGTCCTTTTTTTTTTTTTTTTTGTCGGTTTCAACCTATGCAAAGTAAACAAATCGACTAAAGAAAAGAAAGAAACAAAAACTGAAAATGTCATCAGCTCTGACTCTACTTTTGGGACTGTGGGGGTGGTGTCGGTGGTGGGGGGGCACACAAAACCAAAGCAGAGACAATGAGAAAGAGTAAATCTGTTGCTTTTCCACGTTTAGCTCGCATTCATGCGTCCAAGGCCGCACGGGCAAAAAACAAAGGCAGTCCAGTCCTGTTTCTCTGTGAGGGATGGAGCAGCTGCTGGTGGATTGGGGTGGGGTGGGGGTGTTGGGGGTCAACGGGGCGGGTGGACAGAGCCGCTCCAGCGCCGCACAGACAGATCTCTCTGGAAAGAACGCATCACTTGTGCACATTTGTTGAGCTGTCACTTTTTAATCCCCGGCCGAGCCCTTTGGGAACCAACTTTGCATCCCTCCACCCGACACAGACCCCCTCCACACACACCCTCCACCCTCTCTTTCAGTCATGTCAGCACTTCCACCTCTGTGCTGCTGCAGTCTGGTGTCAGATTTTCATCAAAGCCACCCCGACAACTGCCTCACATCTGTGAAAACCCCCAGCTGCAGAGGCAGAGAGGGGCTGTTCCTCTTTAATGGTGTGCCTTACACTTTTACAGCTATTTAACACTGAAACAGAAAACTGAAAAGAAAAAAAAAGAAAAGTACTATTTAAGATATTTATTTTTGAAGGTTGACACTCTAAGGGTAGAGACTTAGTTGCGGTACTGTATTATTAATAATCCTATGTACTCATCTCAAGGCATATATAAGTTATTGATTAGTTTCTTGTTATAGTATTAACATTCTCAACCAAAATGTTAATGTAGAAGTTATTTAAAACAACGTTATGTGCACTGTACTTACATTTTTTTAATCCTTTTGACTCCATTGAGCATTAAATATCGCCTGATAATTACTTTTTGTACTGAGGAGGTTGCTTTAAGTGCAGGCCTGTTTGCATCTGCCTCTTCTTTGTTCAGACGAGAGGAGAAATTAATAATAAGAACAAGCAAAAATGCTGCTTTTCTCCACTAGAATGTAAAGTTGTTCTGAAGGTTTCAGTAGCTGTGCTTCCTCTGCTTCGGATTCATCACACGGGCTGTTTTACACTGTTGGGAATTTTTTTATATACTTGAACTCTTTCGTACAAGGGAAATATCCACAATAAATGACAACAAAATAAAAGTTGCCAAAAGGCTTTTTATTGTCACTTGATGAAGGCTTTTAAAGTGTTGCTATTTAAATGCAAATGTCCTGTTGATAATAAAACCTTTTACTTCAAAGATTTCTACCTTGATTATGAAAATTTGAATAAAAAGTTATATATTTGAAAAATAAATGGTCTTTTTTTTTTTTTTTTACGTCTTCTACTTTAGGAACCCATCAGGTTCGGTTTACTCACCTACCAAAACCTTCAGGGTTTATTTATTAGACATAATAAATAGGCTGTAGTGGAGAAACAAATATGATGTTTGCATCTTTGGAGCATGTTCATGTAATATAAAAAGGTCTGACTATAAATGAAATTAGTTTAAAACACACTATTTAATATGAAATATTTCCATTGTAGTTTGCTTGAAGTCTCATAACACATAATGGGTTATGTATTTATTAGCTGACATGCTTTTAAAATAGTAAATGTGTAAAAATGGCTGACATTTCTCTTGTTTTTAACCCAAACTGTGAATAGAAATTTGATCAAAGTGGGTCTAATGGACAGTTTTGTGATGTTTACAGTTATTTTCTAGTTTTCATTCTTTGTCTAATTTTGGATAAAATGTGTCTCTGGGATATAAATTATTGTACAAGATTAAACTTTATAAGACCAGGGGGGTTGGCCCCTTAGATTAAGTAACTTGTAATCTTTCCAAATTTAAATTAACCGGACAGTTATAAGAATCGTAAATATAACAAACACATTTATTGTCATGTAATATTTAGAGTGTTTGATGATATTTCTTAGCAGAAACACTGAAGCAGTGAAGGTTGGATGAGGATGAAACATGACAGTGTTCATCAATCATTCATCCATTCTTTAATCAATAAATGATGTGGTTAGGTGTGAGCAGCCTTCTGTCACTCAGCTCAGAGGAGTCTGGTCTTGAGTGAAACGTGAAGTTGGGTCACATCTTGTTGGTGACGATGACAACACGGATCCAGAGAAGCCCGAGTGGTGATGTCATCAGCAGCTAAGATGAAGATTATTTTATTCAGTTGGTGCATGGAATTCTGCTGTTTAATTTTAAAGTTCAATTATCATTAAAATGACTTTCTCATACAGGACTTCTGTTAAAAGGTGTAAGAAATGTGACCCGTGCTTGCAAAATAAGTCAGAATGAGCCCTGGCTGCGGTGAAAATAAGAGAAACGATTGATTTTTGCCATAATTTCCATTATCTTAATCAAAAATCTAATTAAATCAAAGTTTACTAATGAGTGTTTGCAGAAAAAACCTGATCATTTATTTTTAAATTGACCAATGTTCTCTGCTGACTGCCATAGTTCTGGGAAATCCCTTCGTATAGTTTTTGGGATCATTGTGTAGCTTTTAAATGTAGGCTTTTAAAATAAATTAATTAAAAAACCCTGAGTTTTCAAACCAACACGCTCATACACAAAGCTAATTTTGCCCAGATTATAAATCGCCTAATCTTAATGTCATGTTTTTGATCTTTTTAGATGGAGAATTTGAAAATAAATTCATATTGAAATATTCCTCACTGTGATTCATTTTGACAACTACTAATGCTTTTACAAAAATACATTCTATACGTATTTTATGCACTTTTTTGCAGATTTTCCATAAAATGTTTATTATATGTTTATTATAATGGTGGCACACACTCTTAATTTTATGAAAAGCCCAAATATTGGAAAAGTTTTTCAAACAAACTCTTTATCACACACACATCAGAAGTTTTTTTTTCTTCTTTCACCCTGCATATCTCTCACTGCTATAGGATTTATGGTTTTGCCTTGAATCTCACCATACAGAAAGCACACAAACCTTCCATAGATTTAAATTTTTAGTTTAGTAATTCCTCTTAAAATCTGGAAGTGGTCTGTTTTAACTGGTCACAGCTCTAATGTCCCACTGGCAGGTGCACATTTATTTTGACCTTGGTTCTCTTTACAACCATAGTCAATTCAGTTTATTCAAAAAGCCCCAGTTCATAACAGAAGTCATTTCTTGGCACTGAAAAACATTTCCATTATAAAATACCATTTAGTAAAGTTATCTATCTAAGGAAGCCAGCGGATTGTGTCAAATCTTCACTTTGTCGCATTCTCGAGCAGCATTAGTGACAATAGGAAGGTGACAGTAGGAAGGAATGACTCTCTTTTATGCCTCGGTCGACTTGGATCAGAGACGAAACACAGTTTCTATGGGAAGAAAGACAAACGGAAACACGTCAGCTGTTGAATAATTACAAACATGAACAGTAGTGGGTAAAAACAGCAGCAGAGTGAGGAGATGTGCTTTGCCCTCCTGCAGTCTAAGCATAACATAACTAAGGGATACATAAGGAAACCCAATCCGTCCCTAACTATAGGATTTATATATATATATAAAATAGACAGTGTCAGCCTCTCGCACTGAAACTGGAAGAGAGGAGCCTGATAACTGAAAGCTCTGCCTCCCATACCTTTAGAAACTCTAGGAACCACAAATAAACCTGCAGTCTGAGAGGTTGTGTTGGAATTTTGGACAGGAAGACAATTCTCAAATGCACTTTAAACCACATGGCTTCAGGAGTCTCGTGCACGGACAACCAGGGGCTGCGTCTCATCTATTTTTAGGAGCCCCCAGAGACAGACTGTCCCCCCTCCCTTCTCCAGAAGACCGAGTCACGGTCCTGGTCTCTGCAGGGCTCTCAGGTTCACCGTGTTGCTTAATTAGGACAAACCGGAAAAGTGCTGCCCGGACGGGACGAAGAGGAAGGACCGAACCGAGGGGACAGTCAGCGCACGAGCGAGGAGACACCGACAAACAGCGGGGACCCAAGCAGGACGGTAAGATGCTCGTATTTAAAATACGCCATGGTTTACGTTCAGCTTTGATTTTATGGGAAGACGAAGGCGGACGATAATGTTTTTGCACGTGTCTGTGTGTCTTGTGAGCCACCGGGCGGGTTTTAATGAAACTTGCAGAAAGTAAACATGGATGTCCAGCTGCGACGAGGCAACCCATTCAAGATGGCCGCCGCAGCTGACCCTAACAAGCATGACTGGAACTGTTACAGATAATAAGCTGAAATGTGCGGTGGTAGTAGCCGACACTGATCTTCAACACATATTCTGAGGGCAAAGGCAAGATTTAGCTATGAACTAATTAGTAAACGCTTGTCTGTTAGCAAAACATCTGGATATAAATGAAACTTAAAGGAAATATCCACTCTATATTTAAATAGTTGTTTGCATTTTGAAGCCAATCCAATTCAAGATGGCTGACAGTGCCAAGTGACCTTAAAAAAATCTTACTATAACTTGGTAAATTTGACAGATATTGAGCAAACATCTGGTGTGGTAGTAGCTGAGAGTCATCTGCATCACATGCTCCAAGTGCTACAAATTGTTTTGCTTCAAACTTTAGCTTTAGCTTATAGTGTAAACCTTGTTTATCTGTTAGCAAAATATCTCATGTAGAGGGTGATTTTAATGAAACTTTCAGAAATTAATTATTTGTTAGGCATCTGCAATTATTTAGGTTTTGGAGTCATTCTGATTCAAGGTGGTTGCCACAACCAATTAGTTTTAGTAAACAGAAAAGTCTATTTAAATAAAAAAGACTGTGCTTTGATGGTTCATTGTCAACTATAGAAGATATGAAATAAACAAACAGGTTTTTGTTTTTTTCATTCAACCTTTATTTAGACAGGTAAATCCCATTGAGCCTCGAGGACTCATTTACAAGAGAGACCTGATTTCAACAAAGAATGATGACAACAATGGACAACAGCGACAATAGACAGCCACAAAAAAGGCATACAGATTATTATTTTTTTGTTTACAAATAAGATAGCAAAAAAAGTAACAAAAACCAGCTAGATTATAAGACGAATGTAGAAAACTAAAAACAGGAACATGTCTGCAATTGTCCTTGCCAGGAGTCCCAACAGATTCTTAAAGCCACTTAGAGAGGTCAAGGTCGAGAGCTTCAGATCCATAGGAGGTTTACCTCCTCCTTCCTGTCCACATTGTCTCAGAGAGTCCAGCATGGTCTACATCTAAGGTCCAGAGCAGCCAACACCAGGCGGTGTCCCAATATGCCTAAAGTTCAGATACTAGACTTGAATCTGAGAAAAAATTCAGTGGTTCCCGACCCTGGTCCCTGAGGAACACCATTTAGTTGTTCCTCTGCTCCAACACACCTGATTTGAATGAAAGGTGATTAACAGGCTTCTGCTGAACTTAAGGAAGTAATTAAACCATTGAATCAAGTGTGTTGGAGCAGAGAAACAACTAAAGCATGCAGGATGGTGTTCCTCAAGGACCAGAGTTGGGAACCACATATTTAAACCAACAGATTGAGTGTTCACCTACTGGAGGTCTACAAATACACAAATATACTGTAACAACTTTGATTCTTGGTTGTGTTACATTTTTATGAATGCTTCTGTTTGTTTCCCATCAGGTTTTATGATGGGTTGAATACATTCTCTCATGAACAGCTAAAACATTTCACTGGCTGCATCTCTGCATTGCCCTGGAGAACTTGGCCCACTGACAACAGTGGATTCAGTTTGTTTCTGCTGTTTAGGAGGAGCAGAACCAAAGTTTGAGCTGGACTTCATCACAATTTATTGATCATATTGGAGCTTCTTTGCCTCAAAGCTCTGGACAGCAACAAGGATTTTTATATTGTATTCTAATCTGGAATATATATATATATATTGTCATTTACATGTTTAGTCCATCAAAACAAAAAGATGAAAGTAAACGTTACAATTTCTTACTGTTACATGATGAAATTTATATTTTGCTAAACAGCTCAAAGTTTAAAATGGGTCAGGAAAAGCTATTCTAAAGAACAAAAAACCCAAGTGTTTGATCAAAAATTGTAAAAAGGAAAAGGTATAAAATGGTCAAAAATTGTATAAGTAGTCAAAAATTGCAAGAAAAAAAGGGATAAAATGGTCAAAAACAGTCAAATAAATTTGGTATAAAATGACCACAAATTGTATAAAATGGTCAAAGCACTTATTCAGTGTTAGTTTTTAAATTATTTTTTTGCAAATGGTTTATTGATGTTTAAAAGTTCAGGAGTTTATAACCTCCTTGAACAATCAGAAGTTTGTTGACACATTATATCACACAGAGCATTTTTGACGATTAGTTACACACGTGTTCCTCAGAACCACGTCCCTGTGACAGAAGTACCTCATTATGTAGTACATCTTTGTAATACATGTTTTTGTAAAAGATAATAAAAAGTAAACTAGGGTTGAAGTTTATAAACATTATTAGTACGACCTAATTTCTTAGATTGAACAATCATTGCTCAAACTTGGAAAGTACAGTAAATCTGATTGTATCGTTAATCTTCCAGTTTCTTTTCTAATACTTTTACAAATTCTCCAAGTTTCTGGTCTCTCCAGGTTTCTGCTCTCCAGATTTCTGCTCTTTCAGGTTTCTGGTCTCTCCATGTTTCTGCTCTTTCA